TGCGAAATATCAGAACTCTCCAGAGTGAGATTGAGCGGCTTAAGCTTATTCACCCTATTGATTGGGATACGGTCTGTTGCCTAGAAGCTGAATTAACAAGACAGTGGGGTGCGGAAGAAGTTTACTAACAGCAAAAATCTAGAGTCCACTGGTTGAAAAAGGGAGATAAAAACGCGTCATACTTCCATACGATGACTAGGTCGCGTCATAAGCGGAACTTTGTGACAGGTCTAAGAGATGAGAATGGTGAGTGGATTACTGATGAAAAAGATAAAGCGGATATCGCTACCAATTTCTACGGCCATCTGTTCACTTCTTAAAATCAGGTTCTTAATATGGGGGAGCGTGTTGTTGCTTTGCCTATCGCTCATAGTGTTACGCCGGAAATGAATGCTGGCCTAACGGTTGCTGTCCTCCCGGAGGAGGTGCGTAAAACTGTCTTCGCAATGGGTGCTAAACAAGCCCCCGGGTCTGATGGGTTGACGGGCAAATTTTTTAAGGCCTTTTGGGGTATTGTAGGTAATTCGGTGGTTGACGCAGTCTGCTCGTTTTTTACGACTGGTAGGATGCTCCGCAGCTTCAACCACACCTTGCTCACCTTGATCCCTAAAGTGGATAATGTTGAATCTATGAGGCAGTTGCGTCCAATCAGTTTATGCCAATTTGTGTATAAAGTTATAACCAAGATCATGACTGAACGATTAGCAGGCCTCCTACCTCATATTGTTTCATCAGGCCAAAATGCTTTCATTCGGGACCGCCAAATTGTTGAGAATATCCTCCTTGGGCATGAGTTAATGCATTACTTGAAAATCAAAAAGCAAGGCAAGAAGGGGTACATGGCTCTTAAGGTTGACATGGAAAAGGCCTATGATAGAGTCAAATGGCCGTTTCTTCTTGCGATTTTGGACAAGATGGGTTTTAACTCGTTTTTGGTGGGTGATGAGGAGGGACACTCGAAAATCAGGTGGATGGCCTGGCGGGATATGTGTAAGAGTAAGCATGAGGGGGGAATGGACTTCCGCCGGTTTGAGCAGTTCAATCAAGCCCTTTTAGCCAAGATCGGATGGTGTATCTTAGTCGAGCCTCAGTCTCTTCTAGCTCAAGTCTATAAGGGTAAGTATTTCCCCTCTGGGCATTTCCTCACTGCTAAAGCCAGGTCGCGCCCTTCCTGGGGCTGGCAAAGCATTTTGTATGGCCGGGATTTATTGGAGATGGGTCTCAGATGGCAAATTGGGAATGGGCGCTCGGAGTCCCTGCTTCGGTCCCCCTGGATTCCTCAGCTGCAGCTTGATCCCCCGAGGTATAATCCGGTGGTCTTACCAGAGGGGGGTGATCCTACTGTGGCTGATGTAATTTGTCAAGGGGAAGGGCGTTGGTGTGATCGTAAGCTCAGCTAGTGGTTTGATCCACCTACTTGCCGTATTATAAAAACTATTCCCCTTCCCCGGCAGAACCTTGAGGATAAACTGATTTGGCATTTTACTCCTGATGGGGTGTTCTCAGTCAAATCGGCTTATCATCTGGCGGTCTCCCTTGATAGGAGGAGGGGCGGTGGAAGGCGTCGGCTAGTTGGATGGATAAATCCAGTTGGATCCGGTTGTGGGCGGCGAATATTCCCCCTAAGCTGAAAGTCTTTGTTTGGCAAATCCTGAACCGAATTCTTCCCACCACAGAGGCCCTTATTGCTCGGAAGGTCCCTATCATCCCTCGCTGTCCGGTCTGTTGGGGTGGCCTGGTAACCATGGAGCACCTGTTTTTGGATTGTCCAGTTACGCGTTAGCTCTGGGGCCATGCGGGGCTTGAGTACTTAGGGGAGGGGTTGCCTCGACATACTTTTCCTCGGTTTCTTAAACGTTTAATGGCCTTAATCCAGCAACCGACGCTTCTCATGGCAGTGGTCTCTGTCCTTTGGCGCATCTGGCGGTCTAGAAATTGGGTGGTGTTTGAAGGAAAGCAGTTTGGATTCCCTATGTTAATGAGGCAGTTTTCCTAGCAATATGAGGAATGGATGGGGTTGCCGGTGGATGTGCCCCCTGCCTCCCCCCCCCCCTCGATGGTTCCACGGTCAGATGGGTCGGGTCCGGCTGCTGGGCTTACCTGCCAGTGGGACGGGGCTACCTGGAAGGGCTCCCACTCAGTAGGTGGCATGGTTATTCTGTCTCTCTCGGGGGATGTTCTTATTGCTAATGGGATTCAGTTTCAGGGGATTGATGACCCAGCTGTGGTGGAGTTTCTTGTGCTCTGGGAGGCTGTTGCTTGGTGTTTGGGTCTGGGTTTTACAGGAATAAGCTTTGAAGGGGATGCCAAGATCATCATTGATAAGATCAACTGCAAGGATGCTAGGGACAACCGGATGGGTGCCATTTTTGAGGAAGTTTTGCAGTATTTTGATAACAACCCTGGGTTTAGTGTATGGTTTGTAGGTCGGAGTAGTAATAGGGTAGCCCATTTGGTGGCTAGGAAAGCCCTCTCTTTGTACCCGACTATGAGTCGCTTCTTTGATTTTCGGACCTGACTTGGTTCCAGGATGTAACTATCTATGTTTTGATATCAATATATGATTATCTTTTGTAAAAAAAAAAAATATTTTCCAAAGACAGATCAAATCACACAAATGAGATCCATCCGGTCAATTGGCCGGGAGCACAATATAGTCTGATAAGGAATTGGCCGAATAAGGATAGCCTGTGTCCAACAGTAAAAGAATTGAGAATAAGAACCAGACCATAAGTAGATTCAATTTGGTTTTGTCCCGGTCAAAAAACGAAATCCTTTTCTACTAACATCCATAAAATTTAGGCAAAATACACTTGTATAGCCAAAACTTTCGCACTTGTGCCAATAATAGCCAAATTTGGAGAAATACCACTTATAGCAAGAATTTTGAAACTTTTGTGCCAAATATAGCCATTTCCGTTACAAACTTTAACGGTGTTAGAGAATCCGTCAGTTAGTTTAACGTTAGGCTGACTAGGATGTCAAATCATCGCACACGTCAGCGATAAATCAGCCACATTCGCCACGTAGGTGACACGTCATATTTTTAATTTAAAAACAAATAAAAAATTCTATATTAAAAATAATATTAAGTAAAAAATAATCAAAATTTTATCCTTTACTTTAATCAAATTAAATAAAAAATCATAAAAACAATAAAAGCATTAATCACCTCTCTCCAGTCTCCACCCACCGCCTAATCCTATTCACATTCATCACCTCTCTCCAGTCTCCTTCCAAACGCCGGCGTTTCCTCCGGTGGCTCCTCCTCTCATCTCCGCCGCCTCCGCCTCGTAGAAGCCTGACGAGCCTCCTCTGTTTCCGCGCTGCTCGAGCTTCCCTTCTTGCGATTCCCGAGGTTAATCGAGCATCCCTCATCCGCTCCTGACCATCCGCGGAGGAGTAAGTGGTGGAGACGGCGATTAGGGTTCCGACATAACCAATTAAATCGACGGCGCTGGCGAAATCGTTGTAGCCTGCCTCAGATTATCACCATCGCGGATGGCGCTCAATTTCCAGTCGCTCTCTGAGCCGCATCGTCACCCAATTCGAGGGCCAAGCAAATTAAACCCCTTCGAAATCTATCTGTCGACTATGACTTCTTCGACGGGCGTGTGTTGGGTACCAGCTATGGAGATGAGAAACTTGGCGACAAATGGATGGGGATGGGATGAAGGGGATTCTGGAATGGGGCAGATGCCATCGTCAACGGGGAATTGGTGTTGACAGGAGGCAAGGATGAGAGCTGGCGGATGCAATGGAGACAGGTCGAAGACGAAGGAAAATCGGCGAAGTGCGAAGGGAGAAAGTTGATGCAGTTCGGAGATTATGTAAATGGCGATTCTCCAGCGGTGATGGAAGACTCAGAATTTGAAGGATAGAGAATCGGGAGGGTTCAACTACAGAAAATCCCAATTGGATTTTAATTGAATGAGAGTTTCGGCTCGGGAAGGGGTGGGGAAGAGAGATGGAGAGAGAAAACAAAAATTATTTATTTTATTTATTTTTAGTTTCCACCTCACATTTTTAATTGACTAACGGTGGCCAACTCAGCAATGTCGTTAGTACAGTCATCTCGTTACTTGACACCGTCAAAGAATTGGACGGAAGTGGCTATTTTTGGTATTTCGTCAAAAGTGGCTATATTTGGCAAAACCGTCAAAGTTTTGGCTACACAAGTGTATTTTGCCTAAAATTTACGAGTCACAGAACCAAACCTCATTATTTCCATTCCAGTCTCAGCCGTCCAAATGTTAATTTGATCTGGTTGGTCCAACTCATAAAAAATTATGTCCTCGCCTGAAATTGAGGACATAATAAGTAGCACACTATACACGTGACACAGAATGATACTGCATCACATACCGTATTCATTCCTTGACGCTTTAGTTTGAAAGCTACTTGTTGGAATCAATCAAGGCACACGAACTTCAAGCGACGGCAGAATTGTCGAGGCAGCAGGATTCAGCACTGATGCCATAATTTTCGAGGACATGTATACAGCTTGGCATAAGAAGACTCTACCAATCTATGGCATTCAATGCTTGGTTAGAAAGACAGGAAAGAAACAGCAAGAATAAACTGCTTAATAGCCATTGCATACAAGCTCAGTTCCAAACCCTAAGGAGTAAGGAAACAGGAATTAAGGCAATACAATATGCAACAATGAAACCAATAAACAATAAAATGGAAGAAAAACTAACAAACTTTCAAATGAACAATAATCGAATTCTCTCTACTGTCAGAGAGAGCAAATAAACATCCCACGAGAAGTTGGCTGGTTTACAATACTTACAGACAAGCTATGTGCAACAAAGCTCATTGTTCATGCTTTACAGGAAATAACACACCCCTAAACCCTTCGTGCAATTCTCCAATCTTCAGTATACATGAAATGTACAGCCCAACTTTGAGCAGCAAGAATGGATGTATCGAGGCACAGTACAAACCCGACACAACTATGTTAGAAGTGAGTTTAATCCGACCTCTCCCAGGAGAGTTTAAACCATCTCGCCATGTCTGAATTCACTATCCCCGCAATCTCCAGTGGAGTCCAGCCCACAAGGTGAATCATACCACTTGGTATTGTCTTGATAGAAACTGTCAACTTGAATCAGACCTACATCTGTTACTATAGCCTCGTCATCGTGCCTCAAAGGCTTTGTTAGCTTACTATCTTCACATTCAAGAATGCTCTTCTCGTCAAAATCACTGCATTTCAACCATTTCGGAGGCTTACAGGACTCGCTAATCAGATCCTTCTCACTCCTGCATTCTGCTCTCATCTGGTCCCAAGGGACTACTACATCCCCAAGTGTCCTTCCGAAACTGTCATTGTCGTCGTCATCAATCAACTCTGTCTCCTTTCCATTACCATATATCCTCTCAGGATGATCGCTCCAATGAGCCAATTCATCCTCTCCCACCAAGGCATCGTCAGAATTAGGCTTGCCAGGAAGCAAACTAATAGTCTTTGAGCTCTCATCCCCAATACTCCTAACTTTATTAACAACATCAAACAGTTCTTGAGATACCGAACCCAAATATTCACTCGGAACTTTCCTCAATCTCCCTTCTAAAAGACTAATCTCAGCTTTTAACTCCTGCACTTGCTGCATGACGGACAGCTGAAACTGCCCTTCATCCTTGCCAAACAACCCAAACCCTTCACCATCTACATCTTCACGCACGCCATAGTCCATTTCTTGGTCCGTCATAAAACCACCTTTATGCCCAACAACTCTGTGCATAATTCTAGCATTCCCATCCAAAGGTCCCGGCTCGTGCCCTGAATGCACAGCATAGAGCTTAAACACGGCCACCCCTTCTTCTTGATACACAAATGTCTTATCCTTGTCGTTATAATTTGCAATTGGCACAATTGCCCTAATCCTAAAACCACAGCCACACCTCTTGGAAGCATACGGCTCCCTCTTAAGCATTCTAGACTTCTTTGCTGCAGGTTCCCCAGCCCTGTGACAAGCATAATCCTTAACCTCGGCCATAAAAGGCTTATACCTAATGTACTTCTGCCTAATGCAGAGCACAACCTTGTGTTTGGCAGCCAACTGCTGCAGCTTATCAGGTACATCCTTGGCAGGCAAATCAAATGACTCGGTGTACTCGAAACGACGACGTTTGTTTCTGGAGGCAGAGCCCTCGGAGGCGGAGCAAACAGGGCAGGCAGCGACACAAACCCTAATGTAACTCTCAGGGATTCCATAAAATTTGGCCCCTACAGTCCAAATCTGCTTAATCCGCTCAATCGTCTCTCGAAGGCCTAAATGTTTCAAATCCGCATCCCCATGGAAGCTCATAACAATGTCCTGCCATTGATTAATGTGGGAAACAAACTGCTGGGTGTTATTCTTGAAGCAGAGGAATTCGTTACCGGAGGTGGGGTCGACGTGGGCGGCGAGCTTCTCCTGGATCCGCTTCCAGCCGGTGACGTAAGCGGTGTCCTCGTTGCGATCCTTCCAGACGGCGCGCCAGGACTTGAGGACGGAGCGGTGAGTGGCGGCGCGGATCTCGTCAGGGGTAGCAAGGCGGTGCTCCAGGATGCAGCGGATCATGAGCGAGTGGGAGTCCGCGTTGAAAGTGTAGAATTGGGAGGAGATGTGCGACTCTGGGCTGATGAACAGAGGCTTTGGCCGCGGCTTCGGTTCATTGTGACGGTGGAGGAGCAGGAGGGAGGAATCGTCGTTGTCGGAGGATTGACTGGGTGAGTCGGGGGAAGAGGAGCGGAAGTAGAGGTCTTCTTGAATGGACGGCTGAGATTGATAATGATTGGGGATGATGACCGGTGCCGGAGGTGGGCCCAGATCGTGGTGGTGGTGGTGGTGGTGGTGGAAGAGATCGTCTTCCGTTTTCTGGGGAGGATCCATAGAGAGACGGCCGGCGATGGAGAGACTGTCGGGAGAAAGAAGCGAAACAAGAGAGAAGAGAGAGAAACCTAACGAGATGGAACAGAACTGATAGTGTCGTGTCGGGTCGGGTTTTTAGTCTTCAGGGGCCACGCCTGCGTTTTTCTTTTTTAGTTTTTAATTCTTTTTTCCCCCTATTCTTAATTCTATTTTTTCTTTTTGCTTTCTTCAAAGAAAAAAGTTGTCAAAAAAGTTTATAAATTATAACAAGTTTGTCAGACCAGATTAAATGGTCAAATCAATTTGACAAATAGTTTGAAGTTTAATAGTTGGATCGATGACATATTTTAAGAAAATCTCATTGATCTACAGTCATATATTACTAAATTATTTCTTCAAAAGAAATATGTACTACCGAATTATCAATTTTTATTTTTAAACTCGATTTTCACTGGTTTAACCCTATTTTAACTAGTCAGACAACCCAGTTTGAATTGGTACCCAATTTTGACTAGTTTAATTCGATTTTGTCTTTTTCCAATAAACGTTTAGCATAGTGTATTCCACCGTTCATATGACCGGTTCCAGTCGGACCAAGTTGAACCAGCCAACTGGATAAGGGTTTGACAATCTTGGATTATACTGTTATGTCGGTTTGGCAACTGGTATGGTCCAATCAGTGGTAAAATCGGTTTATACAATTTATGTCGATTTTGGCAAAACATGTAGGGAAGTGAGAATCTGAAAGGAAAGAGTTTTTCATCTTTGAAAACAGTTAAGAGACTTGGAAAGCGTACGTGCATGCTTGGTGAACATGAGTTGTTATGATATGAATATGTATAAATTTTTATACGTCAATTCAATATAATAGTGTGTCAAGACATATTAAGTATTTGTTAAACTTATACATAATTTAGGTAAAAGGGGCAACCGAATAATGGCTATAGGAATAATTGGGAAATGAGAAATGAAAAAGAGTGACAAAACAAATTGGTTTATACAATTTATGTCGATTTCGGCAAAACATTTAGGGAAGTGAGAATCTGAAAGGAAAGAGTTTTTCATCTTTGAAAACTATTAAGAGACTTGGAAAGCGTACATGCATGCTTGGTGAACATGAGTTGTTATGATATGAATATGTATAAATTTTTATACGTCAATTCAATATAATAGTGTGTCAAGACATATTAAGTATTTTTTAAATTAAGGGGCAACCGAATAATGGCTATAGGAATAATTGGGAAAGGAGAAATGAAAAAGAGTGACAAAACACAAAAGAGTACTTTGGAATTTTAAAAAAAAAATTATATAATTGGAACAAAAAATACAATAACATATTATTTGGACAATAACAGTCCTCCTCAATATTTTTCAAATAACAGGTTTGTGATATTTGGAGAATATCAGGTACCAAATATTGTGTCCCTTTCTTTCAGGGAAACATGTTATTTGTTAGGCATTTGAATGCCATAATCATAATATTTTGGCCGTTTTAGGTCGATATTATGCTATGTGTAGGTTATTGTTAAATATTATATGACAACATGTTTTTTACCGTTTTCTAGTCGTTGTCTCGTAACTAACTCATTCGTAATTTATTATACGTTAGGGTGAGTTTTCTCGTCTAATTTTAGGTCCTGACATGTCAAAGAATATTTGTAGCAAGTTTGTGCCAGTCATACGTCATTTGAGGCTTGTAAAGGAGGAAATAGAACATCTGGAGACCGTGAGATTGCCCCATTTGACTTGTATAGCATTGTCCTTGGAGCAATTTTACGCTAAGTGTTGTCTTGTTTAAGCATGTTTCAGACTCTAGCCGGTGAAATGGGCGAAAAGATCGAAAGATGGACGAAAGAGCACAAAATGAGACAAAGTGATGGAAATTGCATAAATCAAGGTACATGACAGATTGTTACAGGTAGGAGACCGTGAAGATTATAGCAAAACTGTGAGGAAATCAAAGTTCCAGGAGCATTTGGACGTCTCATGGGCTCAACTCTTACTACACATCCCAATCGACGGCCAAGTATAACCGACGACCGAGTGTAGCATAGGGTAAGCAAGCAATTAAATTTATCGAACTGCGGGGATCTAGGCTTACCTTACTTCGGGTTAAGATTTCATTATACAGCCAAAATAGAATAATGATTAAGAAACTAATCTAGCTAACCTAACCACTAGCCTAACTAATTACAAGGTTTGGAGCTCTATTAGGTTTGAATCCCCCTAGTTCTATCGTTTGGTTTGATGTTGAGTACTATCCTAGTTCCATTGATTCACTACCCTATCGTTAGGAGATGGACTCACTCGGGCTTGACCCGGAACGACGAGGTGATGGAGGGTTAGATGCTCTATTCAACTTAGAGATTCATATATCGATAGGAGGTCGATCGAATCAACTAACTCTGTGATTACCCGGACAACATACGATAGAAGTGACCCAAAGATGCCACTAATGGGCTCTTGGGAGATTTTCTTCCTCCTAGGTCAAAAGCTCAATTGACATGTAGAACTCATGCAATTCATGAAAACCATCCAACACTTATATAAATTCATCAATCATACATGGAATCTGTCACATTCACCAACATCAAACCCAAAATCTAGAAACTAGGGTTCATCAACCTAAGAGAATGGGTTTAGTTCATAGAGAGGAGATAGATTACAATACAAAGCACAAATTCTTCCATCTTCTTCTTCTAGAGGTTGACCTCCAAGCTCCAATGGTGCATGGCACCTCTAAGAAAACTCCAGGGACCCTCTAGATCTCTCTCTAGAAATCCCCCTTTAGGGTTTTGGGTTGGAACCTTAAAGAAGAACCCTAAAATTCCAAACCTAGCCAAGCTCCCCCTTTCCCTCTACCAACTACCTTCTATTTATTCTGCCTGAGCACCAACATCATGGTCTGAATGTCACGACCATAACATAAAATGCCAGCTCGTGATATCAACCGAAGATGCAGTCATTTGCTGCCATTTTGGTCCATCCTCACAGCCAGCTGGAAAAGATCACGGTCTAGTGACCGTGACGACTTCTCATGTCCGTGAGGTGTGCAAATCCTCATATTCCTCAGCAATTGTCACAACCACCTATCAATCTTCACGGGCTTTGGATCATGACAATTCCTTCCATCACGTGATCTTGGCACTTTCTTCATACTTTGACGCTTTTTGACTCCCATTCGTCCCGAAACTTGTCATCGACCTTCCCACAAGAAATAAGGGGTAAAATATGTGTAATTATGTCCAAATCACTCCCCCACTCTTGAACGTTTGCTTGTCCCCAAGCAAACCAATCACACACAAGGTAATATTTCAACCTAAACACAATAACTCGGGGACAAATCAAAGGGCTCAAAGGGGACGGATCTCAATGTTTATTTGGCACCAACATATGGACAATAGCAAGTATTCCTGACAACCACCACAAATGATATTCGAATGCATTAAGGACGTGCAAATGAAGAGGTCTTACATTGTTCTCAGATCAAAACATGATCCTTCAAGATGACTCACCAATCACAGTTATCCATGCATAGAGATCATGCCATAGGAACAAACAATCGAGGAAACTAGGTCCTGACTCGCTCGAATCTACACTACAATTAAACCTCAATTAGAGCCCAAGTTTTTAAACTCTAATCGCGTGTAGTATAGGGCAAGTATCTATATATCGAACCGGGCTGGTCCGTCTAACCCTACTTCAGTTGTTGAAATCATTATCTAGCAATAAAACTTTGGTTTAATGGTTTGCCAATTGAAATGAAAGAAAGCAAAAGTAATTTGGTTTGAAAACTCTTTTGTGGGAAAGTCACTTGGGTAACCGCAGAGGAAAGCGTATGTGGTCGGGGACCACAGTCTCGATTGTTAAATTGAGGTGAGGATGAAAGGTCATGTCACTCGACCCTCTCGGTTTAGACAATAGGTAATCGACTTACTTCCTAACTCAACTCTAGGTTGAACAATGCCTAATATCACTCATTGTCCGCCACCGGAGGATGTAGGATCGCCGATTGAATTTACGCCGGCCTTGGGGCCATGTATTACCCCATCATCCTCGGGTCTCCTTCTTCTCCCGCCTCCTCATTCATATGGCGGGCTTGAGCGGCTCCATCTTCCCTTTGGTTCCTCGCCATTTCCTCTTCAATGACGGGCTCAACTTCCACTTCTTCAACTACTTCTCCACTAACATCGGGACCCAATTGTTGTCCCCTTCTTTCACTCCTTCTCCTTGCCTCGGCTAGCTCTCTCTCCCTTGCTAGGAGTCGGAGAGTCCGGTTTATGTCCTCGTCAAGTGATAGTAAGGGTGCCGGGTTGCTCCGGGTCATGCACATCTTACACACAATCGGAAAACACCAAGTCTAGCACAAGCAAAGAACACACACACTTGCAACACTTGAAATTAAAAGCTAGATTAACAACCAACAACTTTTTCAGAATAACAGACCGTTGTTCCCCGGAAATGGCGCCAAAAACTTGACTCGCTCGAATCTACACTACAATTAAACCCCAATTAGAGCCCAAGTTTTTAAACTCTAATCGGGTGTAGTATAGGGCAAGTATCTATATATCGACCCGGGCCGGTCCGTCTACCCCTACTTCGGTTGTTGAAATCATTATCTAGTGATAAAACTTTGGTTTAAAGGTTTGCCAATTGAAATGAAAGAAAGCAAAAGTAATTCGGTTTGAAAACTCTTTTGTGGGAAAGTCACTTGGGTTTCGCTTCCCCCTAAACCGCTACCATGCTACGTGAGTTGGAACGATTTCCTTGGGCACGCTAATCGTGAATTGCAGAGGAAATCGTATGTGGTTGGGGACCACAGTCTCGACTGCTAAACTGAGGTGAGGATGAAAGGTCATGTCACTCGACCCTCTCAGTTTAGACAATCGGTAATCGACTTACTTCCTCACTCAAGTCTAGGTTGGACGGTTTAACCACGATTAATCGACTTGTTCAATTCAATATTGAGGATTGCCCTAACTCAACCTAGTTTAGGTGGCTTGGAAAGCGGAAGGAAAACC